ACATATTATTTTCCATTAAATAATTGTACAGGAAGTTACGCGTTACTATTACAGTTCAACTCTGATTATGATATACCTAAGTATAACGTTTAAGCTTATTGTAAATAAAAAATATTATTCTACATCGCTATTAGAAATATGTCTATGCCACTCTCTGTTTCTCTCACTCTATCCCTATATATTTATCTACATATCTCATTTTCTCCTCCTTTATCTCGTTAACGAGTTAATAATTAACTTAAATGCTGATTATTAAATTGTGTACAACGAGGGAGTTGTTGCGTATGTACACAATTCAAATAAATGGATACTTCATTTGACGCTAGAACGATTCGATTTCAATGTTCTATGATGTGAAATACTCGGCTCGGTTAATAAACTTCTATGGTACTAAACTTCAACACTATTATGTACCTTGTATTGTTGTTTCAAATAAGTGTACGTATGCACGACTTGCCGGAGGAATTATTGATTAGTATTGAATTTGCTGTGTATACGTAGAAATATTATTTAAAATAATTTCGCATTCTGGTTTGATTAGTCATTGAGGCAGTGAAATTCAAATGAGCAATGATCATTACTAGGGTGGCGCAACTGTTCTTTTGTTAAATTAAAAATGATTATAAACAATTAAATACGATTTAGATCTAACTAACTAACTAACCTTAGATCTAAAAAAAAATGTATTTATTTAAAATTTGAACAATCAAATTATTTTATATTTTAAGTTGCAAAATATATTATTCACGTTCGAAAAACGTACACAAGTAAATAAAGCAGAAAAAACTCAATATCATTACTGTCCTATGAGGTCAAGTAAGATTATAAATAAAAATACACTTTAAAAATTTATATAAAGTTTTTCACATTAACAAAGTTTTCTAGTTATCATAAAATCAACTATAACTGAATTATTTCACCCATAGTTCTACATCCGGTTAGATAGAACTTTTTTTCATTAAATTATTAAATAAACCAATTTTTTTCTGTACAATTTTTGCATACTAATCAATAAATAATATTTTGAGTTTTAAATTTTATTTTGATGTGTTAAATTTTACCAAAATTCAAAAATTCATATGACAATAAAAATAATCTAATCAATTGTATTTAAAATCACATTATTTGATTGATTTTATTAATTTATTTTTATTTATTAAAAAAAAAAAAAAACCATGAAAAATTTTCTTTATCCATGAATAATTCTGAAATCGTTAAATAAAAATACCAACCACAAAAATAATAATTATTTATATTTATTATATAATAATAATTATTTATATTTATTATATAATAATAATTATATAACTTCTCTTGCTTCAGATTTATTATTTAATAATTCAAAATTCTAAGTTCCTCAAAATTTCAATAAAATAATATTTACATTTAAATCAGAAAAAATTTAATATGTAATATGCGTCATAAAAAATTTCATTTCCGAACTAATAAGCTTTTTTTAATAACTTTTAAGAGATAAGAAAATAAGTAAAATAATAAATAATAAATACACCTATTGTGTGTTGATTACTCTTCTAGGAATATGAAAGTGTTCTTTTGAATAATAATTCTTGAACCAAATTCTGTATTTTGATTTATAGTGATAAATTCAAAACCTATGAAAATAAATACATTTGGATTTTGTCCTTGGGACTTGTCAAACTGAGTCAAACAAAACTATTACCATTATATTTCCTCGTGATTCTATACAGTTCTTCAGATATATTTTTATTTTCTGCTGTTCATTATTAAATTACAATTCTAGAACAAATACATTTTACATAACCGTAGCAATTATTCATTGAAAAAAGTTGTAAAAATACAAATACTTTTATCCCTCAACGGGGTTTTAATTAAAATCTCTTTTCCAAAATAGATTATTGTTATTCTATAATAATTTTTTAAAATATGCTTAAAATATTTTATATGTACATCACCTTTTTTGGATTTATACTTAAAGTTTGTATACAGTATTTTAGGCACATATTTGATACAAATTTCTTTTTAATAAATAAATAAAAAAGTTATTTTTACAAATTCTTTTTTTAAGTATAATATTAATGACATAAAACGTTATTTAGAAAAAAATTAAAAAAATTAATTTATTTATTTATTCAATATAACCACAGTAAATAATTAATATTATAATTTACGAATTCATAATAAGTTCCTGTATATCCTATAATTATAAACGAACTACGAACTACCATGCGAATTTGGTTTACGGTTGAACTGGGTACTCCGATCGGGATAAATTTAATTATTTATAATACACTTGATAAAGGATCGTATAAATTATTATCGTTTGATTTTCAATTGTAAGCAAATCAAATCTAATTACTTAGATGTTGTATAATAAACAAAAAGTGATCACCTGGTTTCATTGTAAATCGTTACCGCTTATACAGTAGCTAAGAGGAAGAAAAAAAAATATTGTAATGATATTTACATTATGACTTCTAAAATGTCAAAGATCATCGTAACACATCTCTAAAAATACAGTAAAAATATATACCATGTAAATAACAACATATTATTCAATATTAATCTTCAGTCAAATAAACAACAACAGCAATCGTACTTTATAATACTATAAATAACCCCGTAACCAATGTAACTTCAGTTCAGTCCGAATACAGACTTAGGCTCCGGCTAACCATTGCCCAACTGTGTTATTATAAAATGCAAGTGTTGCTGGTTAAATAATATCAAGTGACTGTTAGCTATTTTCATTTGAGTACATTCATTTTTTTTCTTTTAACCTACTTATTCTTTGCGCTTTGTGGACTTTCATCACATAGACTAAGTAAAGAAGTCAGGAGACTTATACTTTCAATATAAAGGTAAGAAATATATTTATTATAATATTATAATAATTAAATATAAATATAATATAATAAAAGGTTCATTAGGAATTATAAGTATTCCATGTGAATAGGTAAGGTAATGTATAAACATATACAAATATATATACAAACTAAAGGACCCTATTGCTCATCTCTTTCCGTAATAAAATATAGATTATAATAATATTATTTGGAAAATCATAGCACTGCAGAATCCTGAGCCTGCCTTTTATATTTGTTATTTCTCTAAACCGTATGATACTGGTCTATATATTTCATTATAAGGTAATGTGAAGGATTTTACCACTAAAGAGTTATATCTAACGAACCACTAAAAATCTCTCCATTACAAAGTGGTACCCAACTAGTTGGCTCTCTCATTTTTTTATTAACATAAAATGAATACAAATATAACTCGAGAATAACCTCAACAACCACAAACAACTCTTAAATAGAGTTTATAAAATATATAGACCAGGATCTTACGGTTTGTTTGTGATGAAAGTCCACAAAGCGCAAAGAATAAGCAAGTTAAAAGAAAAAAGATGAATGTACTCAAATGAAAATAGCTAACAGTCACTTGTTATTATTTAACTAGCAACACTTGCACTTTATTATAACACAGTTGGGCAATAGTTAGCCGGAGCCTAAGTCTGTATTCGGACTGAAGTTACATTGGTTACGGGGTTATTTATAGTATTATAAAGTACGATTGCTGTTGTTGTTTATTTGACTGAAGATTAATATTGAATAATATGTTGTTATTTACATGGTATAATTTTTTATTGCATTTTTAGAGATGTGTTACGATGATCTTTGACATTTTAGATGTAATAATGTAAATATCATTACAATATTCGTTTTAAATGATATTATTTTCTTCTACCATTCCTCTAATGTTACCCCTGCTCGTTCTTCTCGTCGTTAAGGATATTATTTCTCCCCATCTACCTTTACTAATTTAATAATATTTACTTTGAATATAATATATACCTTCACTAACTTTGTTTTCAAGGACACAATCTTTATAAGTAGTTAATTAAATGACGATTACACTACAATAAATACATAAGTTTACGGAAAACAATAACCGTGCGGGTAACCATGTATTAAAAATTCTTTAAAAATTTAAAGGATCGATAAAAAATAATAAAACTTGCAATAATAGTTCCATCTAAGAATGGCATACCATTAATTCCAATTAGTTCATAGTGACAGACTTCGTAGGTATTGTTCTTACAAGTGAAACATTTTAAATGGTAGAGACTATTAATTAAAAAAAATTACGACTAAGTTATAATTATTGATATATTTGTTGGAATGGATAAAATTTAGATATTTCTTAATAATTATTATTATTTAATAATAAAAACATTTTTTCAAGAAAATCGATCTTCAAAGGTGAAGTAGATTTTTAGTAGATCATGGCTGAAAAAATTTTGGCCACCTCTGATATATGATAATATATTTTCGTCGAAAAAAATATGAGTATGTGTAAATAATTGTTTCAATAATAGTTGAGTATATTTTTTTTTTTTTCATAAATTTTATTCCGAACACACGTGATACATATGCACATTACATTGAGTACATACATATCTGATATTATGCAATCATTATAAAAAATCTAAATAAATAAAAATACTTTGAAGTCAGAATGACATTACATTTTTTAATAAAACTTACGTACTTCATAATACATTTGAAGAGGAAAAAAAATATGATTTTTCATATTTTTTTCATATGGTTTTTTAGAAAATCAAGGATTTTCCTTCGTAATCTTTAAAAATGTATACGTCAATCCCCAAATTACATAAATAAAATACAATAGAAATGAATCGTTTTTTTTAATTTGTAATTGAGTTCAAGTGGATATTATAAAACAATTGATGGTTTATGATATTGTTTGCATGAAAACAGATACAATTATGAGATATGTAAATTTATATCAACATGAATCACGTTTAAATTTGGTGCGCATCTTTCTTTAGACCTTTGTTTTCGATATTACACGAACAATATTTTTTTTATAATCAAACTTACCACACATATCACGAGATTGGTAGTATCACAAGAATATTATGATATTGTACGTTTATGTTTATTTAACTTGAACTAAAATTTTGTAATAACCATTTTTTGTTCCACTATACGTAGATCATCCAAACGTAAAGCTATTCATATCACACGGTGGCCTGATGGGAATCCAGGACGCTCTTTATTCGGGTGTACCCATTATCGGCATACCTATGTTCGCCGATCAGTTTTCAAACATAAATTTTATCGTCCAAAACGAATGTGGACTAAAGCTACAACTCGAGCAGATCGACGAACGTACTGCCTATAAAATGATATCCACCGTGTTAGAAGACAATAAGTAAGTGTGAGTATTATGTATATAGCATTCATTAGTTATTTTTGGCTACCACGATATTAGCATAAGCTTATTACTTTATCAGTTAATTATTATTCTACAACAGAAATTCATGATATTTGAAAAAAATATGCACTACATTTCTACGGACGGAACACAGAAAATTAAAAAATTTTCGAGTGCTTTAATCAGTTCTTAATATTATAATAACATTGATTTTATTGTAACAGCAAGAAAACTATCGATAAACGCAAAATTTTTTTAGGCTCAAAAGCATAGTCTTCCTCGTACGAAGTATGCTTTTTGTAGTATATGAAAGATAGATAAAGTGAGAGAAGGAAGGATTTATCGGATTGGAATGTGTTCGCAAAACCTTTGTATTACCACACATATAGTTGGTAAGTAGTTAGATATAATTTAACGGACCACGGATATGCCATACGACCGGATAAAGGAGAAAACAGAATTTATAATAATTATTACACAAAATCTTCTACACCCACAACAGCGTGGTTAAATAGAGCATATAGTTGTTTGCTCGTATTATTATAATTATTATTAGGATATAGTCGTTGTTCGTCTGAAAACTGTTATCCAAACGAAAATCTTCGAATAACAAATATTTTATACGTCGATAGGGGTGATTGAGAAGTAAACGTTATGCTGTTGCATTGCATTCAAATAAATATGACACATTTTTGATCCACAAATATAACGAATGTATACAAACACCACTGTGTATATACGTGCGTGTGAAGTACAATGGCAATAATCGCGTATGATTTAACCCGAATGGCGGAACGGAACAAAAGCGGTAAAACACATCGTCAATTAGTTAAATTATACTTTTCTTTTCTGTCAAATTATTCTACAAATAAAATTACAGAGAACAAATATACTACATATTGAAATTTAAGCACCCAAAAGACAGGACTTGAAGCGAAAAAATATCTTGTGCAATACACATTTTTATGATAAAAATGTGCCCTCCTTATGTAATATGGTAATTGGATTTCGTATATGTCCCTTAATGAAATATGTATATTATTTTCGACGGTAAATGAAGTTATAAGAAAATTAATTTCCACATCCCCATGGCGAAAGTGGTTCAATACATTACTAAATATATATCTGACGATTTACATTTCGTTTCAAAAGCAATGAAAACATCCTGAGCAGTCGACAGCCGACTACCATGATAGAATTAATATTAGAATTTTTTAGAATTAATTATAATTATAATTAGAATTAATTAGAATTAATATTATTGCAACAAAACTAAACTCCGATAGAATAATTTTATATAAAAAATAAAAAACGTAAAAAAACACTTAATGAAAAAACATTTTTCTAGACTGACACTACCAAAATAAAAAATTAATTTTGATGAATTACATATATAAAAATTATCACTCATTATCTGATTATCTGGCATTAATTCTCGAGATGCCTGACGATATACCTCGATACTATATGATAATAAATTATCTATTTCCTAATCACGATGTTTATTTCCATTACTATAGTAACAATATAAATAAGAAAACTAATAAGTTGAATTATGATTAACATATAAATAGAATTATAATTAATAATTTTTATTGATAGGAATATCAATATGTTGTATGAGATAATTCGTAATCGGTTTTTTTCGTATTATTAAAAATTGTCGAAATTCTTGAACGTTGATACAGAAAAAGATTTATCAACCCTATTAAAGTTGTCATTAAGCCACTCCCTTGAAAATAACTCAAACTGAATAATTTATTATAATAAAAGAAATTATTTTTTGAGTCATAATAAATCTTCTGAAAATATATTAAACAAATTTTTTTTATATGATTATTGTCTATTATGCGTAGATACTGTTTTTATTGCGAGTTTCTCAGTGCTACGTTTTGATAAGAATAATCGCCATGGTATCCGGATTTTTGCTCTTTTTAAAATTTCAAATTATTTTCTTTCCACCAATATCCTTAGTTTAGTATTCCTAATAATCTTTTTTATATTAACGGTTTCAAGTAAGAACTTTATTAACACAGCAAAGTATTTTGAGTTCACGACGATTTTCTTTGTAATAAAATATATTAACTTAGACTTTAATTATAGGAACTCAATATTCTAGCATAGTTTTTTATGTTGAAAGGATATTTATTATTACTTTCAAATACAAAGACAGTAAACTCAATACTGTGATCTTATTGACATGATATACATACATATATATCTGATTTTATCTCATACGATTTCTACGTCAATGTGTATTTATTAAAACTTCTATAAAACTTTGTTAGCTAACGTTAGAAGGAAATTTTAACCACAAGGCAAAAAACACATAGACAACTGCACAATAGATCACGGGTGTACTAAGTTGATGATAATAACCATGGAGGCTAACGAAGCTTGAAAAATTAACTCCTAAAAGTTCGATGTTGGAACAATGTCAGCAGAGAAGAAAAGTTCAAAAGAAATAAATTACCTGATACATATTTAGCTACCCCTGTGTTTTATGGTCATACTAGAGTTCATACTTAATTTAACGTAAAAGTATTGAGCAAAGATACTTTTCGCATTTTTAAAAGAACCTAATTTGTCAACAAAATAAAATCTTTTCACTATTTTATGTACAAATATATTAGTGAAGTTATATTATTAAGGAGGACGAATTGCCGAATTAAATGTCACGTCATAATCATATGGTATAATAATTTTAAGTATACCTTAAAGAATATATTTATCAAAATTCGATAACGATGAATTAAAACCCTATATTTTTCAATATGTAATAATTTCAGAAAACGAACTAAGTGATAAAATACATCCCCAAAACATCACTATAATGCATAATTTTTTTCACGTTTTAAGTAGGTATAGTTATTATTTTCATAATAACACGTTTATTTGTATTTTCGTTCACAGCAATTATCGGTTATATTAATAACAAATTATTATGATTTACACCTAAACTGTGGTATGATCAATTTTTTATAAAAGTGTTTAATAAGTTCTTGATCATCTTCGCAGATATGCGATAAACGCTGAACGTCTATCGCAACTGTACCGGGATCGAGAAAAGGACCCGCTGGAAGTAGCCGTGTACTGGATCGAATACGTGGCCAAACATCAAGTCGGGCTGATGCTCAAACCAGCGTTTCAAGACCAATGGTATGAGCATTATTTACTGGACGTTGTCGCCGTGCTAACCGTGGTCGCAGTCACCATAGCGTACTTGACAGGACGCGTTATCATTGCACTGTACCGGTTAATTTTAATTTAATTGACCTGTCGGTATTAAAATGTCTTTTGCCGAGTGATTAATCGGAATCGATAAGCTATAATCGAAAAATGTATAAAAGAAAAAAAATTACAAATAATATTTTTCCATATCTTTTCGGGCACAGCATGGAGCGCTCTCATAGGAAAAGGTTGCGAATGAAGCAGTCCCCTTCATGGTCTTTCTTTTTCAACATTTTGTTATTTATTATTTATATTACACTAGGAAAATACATAAATGTGAATACATGTAATAAGATCGTCCCCCAACTTATAAAATTATCTAGGAACGCTACTGTATTATACTACTGTTTTGATATTATATCCTTCGAATGGCATCCATATTAATAAATATGACATGTATTGTTTCAAATATTATGTCCGTCAGAATCAAATGTTTTTATATTTTTTTTAATTACCTTTTACACGAGTTTTGATATTTTAATTGTCACCAAATAAATGTTCCATGTCTGGTCATGTGCTATAATAATAATATGTAAGTACATATTTCCAGTAGTTTTAGTTGTAAACAATTATGTTCGTGAATAAAAACGAACACTTTGAAATAATTTTAAAGGCATTGATCTTATGCGTGTTCAGGTGTTCATCAATGAATCTGTATAGTATACATCTATTGCGTCGATATAAAAAAGGTATACATAAATTGTACTGGAGAGATTTTAATCACCTAACTGAAAAGTCATACGGGTAAATATTTTACAAAAAAATGTATAATTCTGGTAAATAATAATTTCTTTAGAACGTTTACTTTAATATACTTCCATTATAAATTTAAACACGTATCACGAATTCATTCATTACCAAATGTACAATACTGTTAATTTGGAAGTTCTAAAATCAGTGGCTATAATATTATACACGTTTATATTTATGTAGGAATCGATTACCGCAATCAACACACAATATTATACTCCAATATGAATCGGCACAGTTGATGTATACCTTTTTCCTATCCCGTAATTTTTTTTTTCTTTACCTGTGATTTTCGGCATGATTGATACATGCCTGCGTGTTCCCTGCATCAGAACTTCACGGTTGTGTGTCTACACAAACCATATGCGATTGCTGTTGAAACTTAAGTCACCGTCTTGCGTGATATAAATATTTCTACAGTCGGGCACATTGCGGCGATCAATGGCAATTTTATGCGTGCGAGATCTAGTAGTAAATCCAGGGACCCGACAGAAAATTATTCACTTCCGAAAGAAAAGTAATCAACCGGCTGCTGCAAAGTAAACTTTAATACGGAAACATGGGCATACGTGAAGAAAAATAACGAGATTTATCAGAATACATGAATTATATACATACCTAGCAATAAGTTATTGATTAGTATTTTTTCTAGTTAATTTATAATTTTCATGCCGGTTCGAATAAAAACATTAGTAACCGTGTTATGGTATACACATATATGGCTTATGGTATAAGCGTACACAAACAGATTGAGTTGACTTTAATACCACCACGTTGAAAGTCATTAATTGCATTAAGAGAACGATAATAAATTACAATTTGTATAATTATATTAAAATTGATTTTAACTTAGTTTTCTGTAAAATGGTTTTCCACTATATCAGCGAAAAGTATTTTTTGTCTATACTATAATTAATTATCTTAAATTTATCTAACGTCATGCATAAACACGGTTCATTTATAATGGATTCAACATAAATGTCTGAGGATAATTCGTGTTTAATTTTATAAGATCAAACTTGTTATATTCAATTTTCATCCAAGATGATATTACGTGTTTAAATTGTATGCTTTCACACCAATTTGTACTAACAATAAATAGGACCTAGGTTTAATATATGTGAAAAATATTATAACCTAATTTGACCATGTTTTCTACTCTTGAAGTATTTTCTAACCATGATTCCAGGTGGCAGATGTATTGCCGATATAAATAAAAACTCTATATTTATTTCATGTGACTTTTATAAACATTTTACTCGGTAATTGTTAATTATATACTTATCACACAAAATATTATCCATGTAGAAAATTATTTCAATATATTGCGAAACATTTTATTTTTTTTAACTTAATTGACTTGAATTATTAACATCAAACTTTAAAAAATGAATTAAAATGTATAACATGCAAAAAACATAAAAAAACATTTTAATGATTATTTTTAAAAATTATTGTTATACCTGTGAAAGTGCATTTTTTAAAAGTATTTTTATCATTTATAATTTAATTTTCATATTTTTTTGAGGTGTTCGAAAATGTACCGTACAAATAATAATAATGTACCTAATAATTAAAAACACAATGACAGATCTTGGCTTGTTTTAAAGTGTAGCGCAGTCCTCCGTTAAACTTTTCTATGAACTATCCAAATTAATTTAATATCGAAGTATTATAACTTATAAATATTTTTAAATAAATCATGATAAAAAATATTTTCGGTTTATCTTTAAAATGTCAAAAAATATACTTATGAAAGTTTGAAATACTCATGTACTAATACTATAAAAATGATTTCAGATATTTAATAGAAATACAATAATTGCATGATAAATAAACCAATAGGTGATCAAATGGAAGAAACCGTAACTTAGCCGGTGTCAAATATTCACTTAAAGCTATTTATAATATATATATATAAAGCTTCAAGTGAACTTAAAAAAAATACAATTTATAACAAAATATTAGATTTTTTCAACATAACAAACATAAACATCTGTAACATGACTAAATAAAAAAAAAAAAAAAAAAAATCAAAAGCTGGAAATGTAAACATGGTTATTTTAAACACAATACAATTTATTCGGTGTTATTTTATTCAAAAATAAAATTAAAATTCGAGAATAAAACTTTTTAAATTTTACAATTGTCTAATCCTATTACAAAAACCCTTCATTTAGCACTATTTTCGATTGCTTAATAGAAATTGTACCTCATATAAGATTTAACAAAAAATTATATAAAAAAATAATAATAATAATATAAATAATATTTTACATTTTCAATCAAAAAAATTCGTTTTATAGACATTTAGTTAATTATAAAATGTATTGAACACTTATTCTTTATAAAACTATTAATAACATAGTTTAATTTGACATTGATTAAACGAGCAACAAACTTTATAGGCTATCTTAGTTAGATAAAATGCATTCAACCCTTCAAAACTCGTTATTCTGTCCAATTTTAATATTTAATTACAATTTTTTTTTCTACGATTTTTCTGCGATACCCAAAGTAAGATACAATAATTAATGAAACTAGCACTTTTTTTTTGTTTTTAATTATTCATTTTAAACAAAAAATATATTATGGACATGATAAAAATGAATACATATACTTACAATGCTTTTATAAATTAATGTTTTAACATAATATAATTTATAAGATGAATTGATATGTAAATAATTATAAAAAACAGTTCGTTCATTTTTCTGACATTCGAAAATCAGAATAATTCAAAGAAACTCTCGTCAATTCTTGAGTTACTTTAAGGAAATACTAATCACTCAAATATGGTTTTCTATTAGTTAATATTTTATTTTATTTTAAAATAATCAAAACACTTATTATAAACGCATGACCTCAATCAATGGTTACAGAAAAAAATATATTTTCTCTCGAAATTGTTCAGAATCTTAGTATCCCGAATAATACAATACTACCAAGGATGGTTGATTTATACGAATTTGATTATAATAAAATGTTAAAAAACCTATTTAAACAGTGTATAACTCAATGATATATTTGAAAAACTGGTATTGAAGAATTTACGTAATACGTAAAATGTAATTCTAAAACTACAGAAACCATTGATTCGCTTATATATAAACACAGCGTATCAACTATCCTTTTTATACTTTAATTCGGACATATTTACACATTTACACTTCGGTATTTGATGTATAATATACTTTATGAATACAACGGTAGATAACCCATAACTGTAAACTACAATAACTCAAAACCAATTATATCCAATCAAATCTTATAAAACATCTTTATTATTATATTCATGTATCTATACTTAATTATTGAATAGTAAACCAATCTTAAAGCCGCGTCCACACTGTGTAACAAAACGGCGAACATGAGTTCGCGCACAATGATCGTGTGCAACAAATCGGCGTACTTGTATCATACTTCTGTAACAAACCGGCGATCCACCGATTGACGGTGTTTTGGTGAAACATCAAAGGCTGTTACACGATCACGTTACAATATGTTTGGACGCTCTGACGAACATAGCCGTGTAACATTATACATTTATCAATTTTAATAATAAATAGAAAAATGGAAATGACATGTAACAGGTTACAGTAACAGTTCGTCAAATTGATACACGTTGCATGTTCGCCGTTTTGTTACATAGTGTGGATGCGGCTTAAGTAATTGTATTAATAATACTATAACCTACTTCTTTGTAGAAGTCGATATATAACTGTTAATTTTCATTATTACTAATTTATTATTATTCATGTTGTTATTACCTTTTAAACATTTTTGTCTATCAAAACAAGGATATTGTTATTATTATTATTAGTATTACCTACCTATATATTTATGTATGACCTATACTTGTAAAACTAATTCTGCTAAACAAATATATATATATATTATTATATTATTAAAAAAAAACGCATTTACCCACGTCTTAGCGTTGCTAAAATTAAAATATTTATAATTTTTTTGTATGCATACTTGAGCTATTCGTTATAAAAATGTCGTACGTGTATTTTCATTTTATGTCTGCAACATGACCGCAGACGTTTTGAAATTGTATTCAAAGCATTATTGATGTATGACGTTTGTTTCGTATAATAATTTTACGTACAGTATACCTACTAGATATAAATAAACCTATCAATCCTTTTCGAATTTTAATTTAAATAAATCAAGATTACGAAATTGCATTTTTTTTTCTTCGAAATATTTTTAATCTATTCATTTATTTTATTCCTTTTTTATATATTGTTATACGTTTATTCTCTTTATAATACATTTTATATTAAACTTAGATTTTATTTTTTTATTAGTACATCATATTGTCATATTATTGAAGAACCTAATTTATTTTGTTTATTATTTTTTAGTTTTATCGAAGTATCAACTTAAATTTAAATAAACTAAAGAGCTCTAATGAGACTTTCGTGGTTCTATAGTGTCAGATTTTCAATATCTCATAGGCTGTAACTTATAAGTTAATAATTTACTAAAAAAATAAATCAAACCACAACACTTAGTTTATGACTCAAGATTACTGTCTGGTGTTGACTTATAACTCAGCCGTATGTCCATGCGATTACACTTTGCCCCCCGTTCAGTTATTGCGATTTTAATTATGTAATCAGTTTATGGTATTATATATTATTGAATGCG